GAGGTAATTTAGAAGCTGCTTCAATACTACGGAATACCAAAAACACTTATCAACCTCATTCAACAACTATATGAAGACGCCACATGCCAAATAATTCACAATGGCAAGCTCAGTGATGCCTCTGCACTTGAAGTGAAGACAGGAGTGAAACAAGGCTGTCTACTATCACCCATGATATTCTGATTGTGGTCGACTGGATCATGCAGAAAACAGTGGGAGCGAGAAGAGGGGATATGCTGGACAGCGGAAAAGAACCTAGAAGATTTGGATTTCGCCAATGACTTGTGTCCAATGTCACACAAACTTGAAGATCTACAGGCGAAAACTAACAAGTTGACAGAAGAGGTGAGGCAGGGCATCGAAGACGGGACTTCAAGTGAATATAGAGAAGACAGAGGTGATGAAGATACCCAACCAACACCACCACCAACAACAACAACAACAAACTCCAATCACAATGAACGGGATAAACTTAAAGGAAGCAGCCTCCTTCACCTATCTAGGCAGCACTGTTTCAACTACAGGTGGCGGTGGCACAGACGAGGACGTCAAAGCTAGCCAAGATCGGAAAGATAGCAAGACAGGCGTTCATTAACCTGAAACCAGTGTGGAGATCTCCTGCACTCCACTCAGCATGTGGAACAAGATTTGGATTTCCAAAGCCAACGTCAAGTCAATACTCCTAAATGGTTCAGAAACTTGGCACGTTACGAAAGGGATTTCCAACAAACTACAGACATTCATCAACAACTGCCTACGCTCACTCGATACCCAAGATCAGATAGCCAGAATAATAAGGATAAGCAACAAGGAACTCTGGCTGGCTGGCAACGAACCAACCAAGAACCTATCACTCAACAAATATGCGGAAGGAAGTGGAGATGGACTGGGCATACACTGAGAGGGCCGACTGGGGACATCAAGCATCAGGCCAGTTGCTCGAGTGGAAACCCGATGGGAAGCGACGAGTTGTGTGTCCGAGGCAGAGTGACATGGAGGAGATCGTGGGAGGAGGAAATGAGAGCTTCTGTGCTGTCGTGGAGCCAGGTTCAAAAGATTTCAGACATCAGAGAGGAATGCAGACGTGCTACTGAAGCCCTAGGTTCCATTAGGAACCCAAGGCACAAATAATAATAATAATAATAATAATAATAATAATAATAATAATGTGTGTCGTCCACATATCACCACCATATCTTAGATGTAGGATTATACGTTCGTAAAGCCATGTCTTTACAACTATCCATGAATATATATCTGCTACTATAGGGGATATTGGCGATCCCATTGCTACTCCTTTTGTGTGTGTATACATTTTGTCCTGAAACTTGGAAACTGTACGCCTAATATGATTTCACCAACCGATATCTTAGTTCTACGAGTAAGTTCTGAGTCAATATCTAGTTGATTTCTGACTGCCTCCAGTGTTATAGTGATTGGTATTTTACTATGTGAACTTCTTACATCGAAGCCAACCATTTTTTCATCCTCTTCTATATGTAGGTCATTCGGTCCTAGCTTTACTAAATAAGAATTGACTAGTCTAGAATAGGTCATAATATTGATGCTGAGTAATTTGCTAGTTCATATGTTGGAGTATTTTGGAAGCCAACTATCGGCCTAATGAGATAGCCTGGTTATGAACCCTAATAGTACAGTAAATTCTGATAGGATTATTAATTTTGGTTATTAAATTAAACTATTTAGACTCACCTAGAGATGGTTTCAGCTGGTGTATCAGATCGGCTGTACATCCCTCAATTTTATCCATGACAGTGTCTATAAGCTTCTTGATCTCTTCGTAAGGTCCTGTTTGAGTATGTTTGTCAATTTTGTTGAGATTATCCAATTATGCTAAATGTACTGCTCAATTACCCTAATCACATTCAGCAATTACTATGCTATCGTCATTTCTTAGACTGTTTAAAAATGAATTTTCTAGTTTCACTATCTTCCTTTGTTTTTTCAGAACTATAAAACACTGTTCTCTAATCTATTCAGCTGTTTCTGCATCCACCGAACTTAATGCCACTTCTATGCTAGGTATGACAACTTCGCGTTTTAGATGACCTATTGTTACACTGAAGTTCAATCTTTTTCCAAGTACTTTCGTATCAACTGAGTTTAAGGCTTTCGAGAAGAGATTGGCTACCCACTTTGTTCGATCGATGTTTCATTTGTAATCTCATTATTTTCCAACGGATATTTTTCCTGCATAGAAAATACTTCAGAAACACTACGTAGTTTTCCTAATAAGGCTGGGATTAGAGAGGCACTTAAACCCGCAAACTCACTTAGAAATAAGCATTATGTGTTAAAAGGTCCCAGTGATCCAATTAAGCAGAATAACTTAGTCTACCAAATAACTTACAACGATTGCGAGGTCAAAGTAGTCGACCAGGGTCGATTAGGCTATCCAGCACAAAACCCTAGTTAGGTCAAAAATGGTAGATCCTAGTAAGGTAGGAATTTTTGAAAAAAGCCCAGCCATAGCTATGCATGCGACTGCACAAAACCACACAATACGATGGGACAGGGTGAAAATCCTTATAACTAATATAGCAGGGTGGAGGGAGAGATTGATAACTGAATCTTTGTTTATCGAATCAGCACCAAATATATGCAACAGGAATGACTCAGCACGTGTTCCAGATATATAGAAAATCTTACTACCCATCTCACAAAGAGACGAGGAAATTAGGACTATATAAAGAATATTTCAAAGTTGTGAAGTTATCCTGTTTGATCTGACTACGGACAATAAATTGTGTCTGAAACGTAATCCAGTAAAAAATACTGTTACAATGGGAGGAGTAATCAAACTATGTGAAGTCAGCGGTGGTGAAGTATATCCTAAACGGCTAGAAAGACGATTATACTTAAACTATCCGACAAATATAGGGGGAAGACAGATGTCATCCTCAATAGATAAACACAGTACAGAAACAGGTCATAGGATTGACTGCAAAACAGCCTTCAGATTATTGCATAAAAGCCGTCAGGACCGTATACTTAGGTTTATTGAAGCCTTAACTATACGAAAGTTGAACCCCCTTTGTGTATTCAAAAACAGTTCGTCCTCACCTTAAGCCTACCTGGTAATCTTTATGTCATTTTAATGCCAAGATAGGGTGTAACTACATATTATTCCCCGTATAAGGTACATTTTTACTTGTGTAATCCCAGCGCAGTATAATAGAACAATTAAAACAGAATAAACAAATATTTTCATTATTCTTCAATGTTTCGATCTTCTTACGAAAATCATTTTCAAGAGTATGAATCTGACATTAGGTACACTAAAAGAAATATGCGAAATAAACACGATATGTTCAGGTATCCTAAGAATGGAAATAATTAGAAATCAGTGAAACAAAGAAAAGAAAGACATAGATTTAATACTAATTACATAAGGAATAAAGTCCCACAAATAAGTAACCCTTCTTCCTCATCATATTTTCATATTGTACTTTGCACTTCAATGGTGCATAAACCACACTTCATTATCAGTTTATGTAACTTTGATCACTCATTTCTGATCACTTCAATTACGTGTCCGTAAGTTGGGCATATGCTTTGCACCATTAAAGTGCAAAGTACTTTCGAAAGATTGGCAGGAGACTGTGTCCGCAATCACCGTCCGGGGTGACGTCTTGGAAATGGTTGAAAAGTTCCTGTTTCTAGGTAGCTGTGTGAGTGGTGAAATTTCCAACCACCTATCGAAAACTAGAGTGGCATACATTTGCGTAGGATTACTTGCATCCGGTGGCAGCACCATGTAAGTAATTTTGAGGTACGACAGCATGTGTTTGGGCATGATGGAGATCGTCATTCAAGAAGTGAAGTCATCTGGGAACACTGGCTTCGGTGGCTTGAACATGTGTCACACATGTCATCCCAACGGCTTCCACACCGTTCATTGTTTGCTAACCCTGGGACTGGATGGAAGAAGCAAGGAGGTGGGTAGTCAGTGTATGGTGTGGTGCAGTGGGACGGAGGATAGTTGTATCGCGTTAGCATGTGTTGGTGCATCACGACTTCCTGGGTGGGATCCGAGAGATCACGCAACTCAATGGTTTGAGACGAGATCAGATATGGCTCAGAATCGAAACCAGCGACGGTCATACTGTAGCCTTCTTCTATCTTCTCCTGCTGAAAAGTAAAGAATGTATCTTATTGAACTGCCTTTCTATTCTTACTGTATATTTTTTCTTACTTATCCACTCCCCTTTGCTTCATGTCTTCACAATATTGTTATATTATTTTGTGTTGCGCATTTCTTGGTGCCTTTGCTGTACCATGTGTGTTCTAATGGTAATCATAATCATAATAATAATAATGAACAGTAATCATAATGTGTCGGGTCGTAGTAAATATGTCTGTGTTCCAGAACCTGTTGAAAGCTGAAGATTTGATCGATACATTCTCATTTCGGACTGAAACCTACTTGTTGTTTCATAGTTTGTTAGTCTCGCGTTCCAGTTATATATGGGGTAACTTTGGTCACTAGGATGTTAGATGCGGTATTAACCAAACTGATGTCTTTACGGCTGTCACACCAGAACTTCTCTCTTCTCTCACAAACTCGAATAACAGATGATCTAGACTAGTATGAAGGGACTATCTCTGATTCCTATACATTGAATAGCGCCCAAGTTGCTCTGCTCAGTTCTACTGTTATATTATTTTGTGTAGCACTTTTATCGGTAACTATTCTACACCATATTTATTTTATAAATAGGTAAACAAATAAGTGATTTTATTTCCGAAAATCATCTATTCAGTAGGCTGGCTGTAATAACAGACCATGTTCATATCCAAGCAGGAAAACTTATTGAAACTGACCGATATGTTTCAAATAATTTCTACTCAAATCTTAGATTTGTGAGGCAATTAAGAAAGATTCTTAGTATAAAAAGTGTAGCGAAAACACTAGATGTAAGCAAATGTGAGTACATTGGATTGGTGCCGCACATTCATTGTTAACGAAAACATCTGGGCTGGGAGCTACAAGTTAACTTGCTCCTGTTTCATAATTATGAAACATGACAGTTTAATATAGACAATATGAGGCTTACAAGCTCCTGAACGTATGTGTATTTGTAGCATTCCTGGTATCTGCAAAAGCTATCAAACAACTAATAAACAGGTTAAACGGTTTACACTTTTAGTATTTAATCAAAGAATTATCACATTGTTAAGCACAGTCAACTTGAGGTATACGCAAACAACGGTAGAAATTATAAGTAGTTAGAAGTAAAATGTTTACATCCAGAACGAGAATGACAATCTAACCTGTAGCTTGCGATATAAATTACATACATAAAACAAAATGCAAAACGCTAGAAAAAGTCAAGAGAGAAAGATCTAAGAAACTTACGAATTCAATGCACGAAGATTAGTTGGTCCTTCACCTTTCTCAGGCTCAGATAATTTAGGATATGCACCCAATCCAGCCGACATACACACACATTCGGACATTTTCCAGGCAAAATAAATTCGCATTCGAAAAGTAAAGAAAACTATCATCATATAAAATAATCGGTAAAAGAAGTGTCGATCATAAAAATCTGTTGTGCGCACATACTGAAAATTAGAAAGCAAAAATGAAACAGTATGATTAGTGCTGCATAATTTACAAATCGAGTGAAAATAAGTAGCTTGCATTATTAGTGACACTGCAAACGTATGCTAGCACTAATAAGTAGTAGACATAATACAACTGAAGAATCACGAGCACGTCCATCACGTCATGAAACACTGATTTCCGACAGATCGCAACATTACTTGGTTGTTCAAATGTCTTTCAATGAGTGCAGTTTGAATCTATAAGTCACTAAATGAAAGCCAAGTAGCAAAGTTAGTAAGTTAAACATCATTCTCACTAAAATGTCTAGACATGAAATAATGTCATCTGTGAATAAGGAAGAGTGGATAAATTATTTTCACTTCAATTCACGAACGTCCAAAAGTCGATAATTTCACCTCAGCTATATAACACTACAATAGTTTTATTAAAATATAATCAGTAACAATAAACTAAAGCGTGCTTCAACGAACATAAGAAGTACTTTTGCACCATTGTTAACGACTTTGAAAGGTATCGCATATTCTTCAACCCGTGGTTTCTACTGTTGCTAAGCAACAAGACTCATACTTTCCAGGTGTTTAAACTAATTTTCAGTGCATTCGTCAACTCATAATAGGCCTTGACCTTACGACGTTCAGTTTTTGACTGGACACAAGAAGCACCAAAAGTTGACTACGTAGCAGATAAAACACCAGCTCAACGTAAAACGTCGCACTGAATTCTATCAGTTAAAGTTACTACACTTCACAGCAACAGGCAAAAGAAAGTGAGTAGAAAAAGAATGATATTAAAGTAGATAGAAGTGCATGAAAATATGAAGTAAAGATTTAGGGTAACAAAATCTTCAAAGCTGTGAAGATGATGAAGAGTGGATTCACCTGCATCCTAGTGACTGATATTCACTCATAACACCAAAAGTCTTTCCTAACTCACATAATCTACACCTCCTTACACAGCCCAGATAAACAGCCAAAAACTTCATGAATTGATACCAAATCTCGGTCTGACCACCTGTAGTCTTCAAACTCAATCCTACTTCGACTAACACCGCAAAACCAAGTAAGCAATAGCGTGGCACATACAACACATGTCAGAGCTACTTCAGTTTCTGATGGCTTACAATCCCATCAACTAACTTGCTTAGTACCCTCCGCCTAAACTTCACACTGCTTACACAGTAACTCCACCATACGCAAGTAATGCTACGAATACACCAGGGCTTCTAAACCTCCAATCTCTTCACACACAATTCCAACAGCGGTTTCTCACAACTACATAACATAACAGAACGGACTACAACGCAGAACACTTTTACATTAAACGGTAGTCAGATATCTCACCAGTCAGCGCCCAAGATGACGCAAGTAGGCAGGTGCAAAACGAGACTTCATCAGCAACTAGGCTGTTAGGACTGATGCAGTTATCCACGCGAAGTGGTAAACGCACTTTACCATCTCACCACATGGCCTTGAAACAGTGGTAGCTTCAGACAAAATACTGAAACATCATTTTACATTTGATAATTGAGAGATGCATGCCAAACATAACTAAATTGTTGCTCAAGGCGTAAGGAAGACCTTGTGTTTCTCTAACATCGCCCAACAGAACTATACCATCTGCTAACTATAAGTCAGTCACGTGCCCTCCTACGTGTATGCCAATCCCTGCTAAGTCGGAGGGACTTCGAGTTATGTGCATCAGCATGTCTACAGAATACTTCTTACTTATATCAAAAGTATTCGAATTATTTTATATCGTCGACTTTCGCGAATAGATTTCGTGTGATTTTGTATACCGTTAGTCTACATTGCAATCCCAAATAGAAAACTGATTCCTGAGAATCCAAAAGAAAAACCTCATCTACTTCTAAACTGTCAACATCATCATCATCCAGTTAGTGAACTTATCAACTCAATGAGATCCATGAATGCTTTAAATATAGTCCTTTTTTAAGTTTGTAAACTGATCAGTCAAACTTTGAATGTTCTCTACCTCTTTATTTACAAACAGTGAGGCAGTTGAGTTATACCATCACATGGAACTTCATTAGGTGCAAAAAGACTATTAGCAAAGTACTTAAATGAAGTGAATAATTAGTTTCACTCACATCGACAGTAAAAAAGTGGGATAATATTAGATAAGCCACACCAAATGGAGGAGCTTCTTGAAGATGCTGTGAAAGTGGTTCCTCCATGATTATGCACATTTTACAGAGATGCAGTGTTCATATGAAAACAAGAGAAACAAACGATTGGGATCGTGGGAAAAATCTGTACCTCGATATGCATTGATGATGGTGGTCCGATGTTCTCAAGAAGTTTCGTCACCAGGCCTAGTGATATCCACAGCACTAACTTCAAGTGTAAACAATATCAGAATAAAACTTATTTACTTTTCAGGAGCAGGAAATGATGTAAACCGGCCTTAAGCTATAATAACTAACAATTACAATCCCAGACACCCATATGATAAACTCTAAATTTAAATCCGAAATTAATCTTAGTTATTTATTCCAAACAACGATACTAACTTTAATCAGGGGTGGGAATTTAACAATAATGGTCAAAGAAAGTGAAAACCTGGCGTCACTAACAAGCTTCAACAACAAATCTCTAATGTCGCGAAACTCATCCACCTAGAACGTGATGGCATCTCAATTAAGCTAATAACCTTTCAGTCAACTTTTGTTCACTATGTGTCAGCAACCATATCAACACTTCTTCATCATGCAATGAAGAAAAGCCATTGTGTGCAGGATAGAAATACTACCCAGCTATTTCAATATCGTTAGGTGAAGTGGAGTTCCAATCTACAAGACACGAGTTGAAAGTCAACTGCGTAAACAAATAACTCGAGGCTTCACTACGTCAACTCGGTTGTTTCCACTTTCACAAACGGTTGCAGCGACAAATAATTTAATGCAACTCAATTAAATAACCTCGCCTAATTAACTAATTCACTACTTACTAGCCGGTTCCACGCCCACACAAAGAGGGAAGGTTGGGCATACGACTAGCAACCCTACACCATATAACAAATACAATCACTAAACAAACTTCAAAGCACACAAAAGATACAAAAAATAAACTCAGTCCTCACTGGAATCGTGGAGACGAAATGACACCAGCTGGTGAAAGCCTTCAGGAAGCCAATTAGCCTATCTACCTTCTCTTCTCTCCATCAAACCAAAAGTAAGCATGGCGACATGGAATGTCCACTGACTGGCAAGGCTGTCCAGATTGCAAAAGAAATGAGAAGATATAGCACAAGAGTACTAGGGATCTGTGAGGAATCTACAGATGGAATGGAAGTCGACTCTCCAAACTGTCAACTGGAGAGTCAATTATCTACCCCAATATTATCACCCAGACGACAACCACAAGCACACTCAGTTTCACAGTCGCTATCATGATATCCCCTTGAAGAGCATCGAAGGCTCTCTCTCTCCCTCTCTCTCATACAGTGGGAACCAATCTCCTCCTGCAGGATCACCATCATGGCAGCAAGATGGATTCAACTCAAAACGAAGCAAACTTACAATCATTAAGTGCTACGCTACGCACCTACAAATACTGGAGAAGGAGGAATTCTATACACAACTGCAATCAGTACTGAACAAGACCCCACACCAGTTGGCAATGGCGACATCAACATTCTAATGGGTGCGGTGACACGAATACCAGCCAAACTGGGAGCAGACAACACAAGAAGAGAACTCATCACACGTGGAGAAGCACTTGGTGAAATGAAGAATGAGAATGGAGAACTGTTTGCTGACCTCTGCACACTTAATGATTTGGTCATTCGAGTGAGGCAGTGTGTACAAACACAAGGATATTCACAAGGCAGCCACATGGATTTGATTTCACCACATGGACACACTTAAAATTAAATTGAATTCATTTCACTCTGTAGAAAATGGAGACGCAAACTACTGGATACAAAACATCAAGAAGGGGAACATACCACTCACTGTCTAGTGCAAAGAACCTACCTTCAAAATCGAGTTGGAAGCCTTCAAGGGAGTTGGTGATAGACCACAGTTCAAGTTGAACAACCACCCAGAACAGAAACTGAACTGAACTGAATTGAACTGAAGGATGAAACTACAGGCGACATCTTCATTCACATCAGCCATCAGGACAAAATGGGAGACACCAAGCAGCATACCTGAAGAAACCTGCGCCGAAGAACACTGGAACTGTTTGGAAGAGATGTAGAAGGAAACCGGCATAACCTTATTAGGAAGGAAGAAGAGGCGGCAAGACAAGGAATGGATCTCAACGGACACATGGACGCTGATAGAGGAGGGAGAGGGAGAGGAAGATGCTGCGACAGAAGATGAACCAGTGCAGTGCAGTGGAGTGGAGTGTGGAGTGCGAGGATGAACAACGAAAAGAGGAACTGAATACAACCTATAAGAAAAACACTACACTGGACAAAGAAGTGAATAAGAGTGCGTGGAAAGACAAAGCATATTCCTACGACACACTTGAAAGTGAAGCAGAATAGGCTGCAGGTAGATAGGAGAGACAGAGACCTGACAACATCATATCAAATAACAAGGTCACCATCAAGGAGGGGAGAGATGAACACAGATGAAAGCAATGAAAGATAGTGAAGGCAAGTTAGTTAGCATCAAAGAGGGGAATCAAAGGAAGTGATGAGGTGACCACTTCAAAAAACTCTTCAATCGACCACCACCATCACCTGCAAGTCGTTCAAAAATACCACCAGAAGCCACAGAATTACCAGTGAATACAAGCCTACCGACAAAAGCAGAAGTCCTGAATGCCATAAAACTGCTGAAATCCGGGAAGGCAGAAGGACCCGATGGAATTCCTGCAGAAGCACTGGAAGCAGACATAGAGACAATAGTGGACACGCTCACACCACTATTGTAGAAGCTTTAGAAGGAAGGAAAGATATCTTCATTAATCTGAAACCAGTGTGAAGATCTTCTGCACTCAGCGTAAAGAACGAGATCCGGATTTTCAAGACTAATGTCAGTCCAATCAGTGCTTCTCTGGAATGGTTGAGAGACTTGGTTCTTTACGAAAAGCATTTCCAACAAACCGCAGACATTCATGAACAGTCGCCATCTACGCCCGCTTCATAGTGATGATCAGATTACTCGAGTGTTAAGAATAAGGAACAAGGAACTCTGGGAACGAACTAACCAAGAACCCATCGCGCAACAAATATGCAGAATAAAGTGAAGGTGGATTGAATTGGACATACAGTGAGAAGGAGGATTGGGGACATTACGCGCCAGACCTTCGAATGGAATCCAAATGGGAAACTGAGATGTTGTGAGGAAGAGATGAAAGGTTGTGAGCAGTTGTAGAGTGAGGTTGAAAACACTGGATAGAAGAGAGTGGAATGGAGACGTGCTACTGAATCGCTATGTTCCACTAGGAACCTGAGAGGAAATTAATATCAATAATAACACGTTAGTGACAAAAGATGTCTATTCCACAATCGTGAAGATCACGTGAATGCATGAAAAATAAGAATTACGCACCAAAACGGTCACATATTTACTTGGATTACGAAATATTAGAAGATTTCGATCGTGAACAACTGAAATGAATAAAGTGTTATGTAATCAACGTCACTGCTTCAAATATGCTTACTGCCCTTTTTTCGGTCAATCAACAACATCCTGTGACTTCACCAATCTATTCAGATGTGAAGAAAGTACTAGAAAAAGCCAAACACTTCACCACCACAGTGTCATATTCACTCCACTTGATAGCACAAAGGTAATGTACTCGCTCGAGTGCGTGCAGTCTAGGAGTTTTAGTTGGGACGGAGAAGCATATCTATTACTTTCTATCTTACAGCATTTCCCTATACAAAACTGATCGTGTAGGAAACTGTCTTCTCATAGACAATATGGAAGCAAATATTGTTGCTGTCACTTGGCAAGAACAAAAGCAGTTGATTATTTGGATATAACTACTGAATGTTGCAAATTGTGCACTGAAAGATTGTGACTAGTGTGAAAATGAAGAAACTCGATATTGTTGATGGCTTGACCTACTACTGGAGGGATCCCGAAATAGTATGTCGTGAATACTGATGACCCACCACCACCACAAATCTTAAGCGCCTATTGAATATGCAAAAATCTCACTTTCTACTTCTACCCTTGGCCTAGTGAATTCTTCAGCTGAAAACAGCAAGTATTAAATATACAAAAAATAAATTCATAATTTGAATGCAATATCTACTTTGAATAAGATATCTATTTGGAAGAACAACCAAAATATAAATAAAGTACATCTTATCATTCAGAAACTTCCCATGACATTTCTATTCTTCACCATTTTAAAAATAAAGAGGAAGAGAAAACTGCAAGGAAACAAATTTCTGTAAGAATATAGTGTACATACCTTATTCATCTTGCTGTATTCTTGCATATTAATACATCCAGTATAAACAGAAATTTTAGGAAAGAAACAAGTTTATTTCTTAGATAAGTAATAATAATAATAATAACAATAAAATGTATCAGCCAAAATGCATGTGATTGTGGTTGCATATAATGACTGAAAAGTACTGAAAAACAAATCAAAATAAACAATAAATAAACAGGTTGCCGACTAGATGATGAATGCAACATAAAACACAATCCTCGGTTTTGCCGTTGTTAGTTTTTAAACTTTTATCCTTACCATATGTAATCTAATTGATAAATAAATAAAATTAGGATTTCGAAACGAAACAGGCATAAAAGAAAATTTATTGATAATAGACGACAGCACAACGGTAGTGGCAAATAAACAAGTTAACACTACTGGGGTTAATCTGAGCACACGCTTTAGCAGTAGTAGAAGGTAATGCGATTGGCTAAAAGGCGAGTAAACCACAGCATAGAACCGCTTTCCTAGAGATATATAAGAGAAATAGATATGCATATAATATCGCTGAGAAATACAAAATAGTTTGAGGAAATTCTGTGCTGAGCGTCAAGCAAAAAACAGAACAACAGATAAATTTGGCAGTGAAATGAACTAATTCTTATAAAATACAAAATAAGACTAGATAACAGGTAACACAACAAATAAACAACATATCCATAAACAGGAAGAAAATAAAAGTTGTACACTACAGCAACAATAAAAGAGGAAACTAAATTTTTTACAATGAACACTAACAATCGAAAAAGCCCATCTCCACACAATAATTATTGATTCAATGAACAACAAAGATAGATAAATTTTATAATCTGGATTTATCAACAAATTGTTGATCAGAATAGGGAATTGTGGTTTGATCAAATGCATCATTCTTCATGACATCAGATTGAGGAAATAATTTTGATGATGACGATGAATTAAATGCTCTAGCTGGTAATACAAGACGAAGAAAGAACTCAAAAATAATGAGTAAAATTAAAACTATATGAACACAATAATAGATACTTGACCAATAGGCTATTGTTGTCTGCCAGTCTAATATTAAAAAACCCATTGAACAGTATTCAAATACACGCATTTTTAATAGCCAAGACAAAAATGAAGCACTACCAGTTGGCAGATTTTTTTCACACAAACCAATTATGTTTTTTAAACTTGACTCAGCACCCAATGCAAGCGGTATAGTCAGAAATGATAGATAATAGCCTGCATGTACACCGTGCCAATAAGCGCTCACTAACATTGTCCATAGAGTTCTAAGTGGAGAAAAAACAAAGCAAGCAAAGCATTTTACTCGAGCTAAATGATATAATAATGTATGCATACGTTTAAGTGATATTGCACAAACAACTTTAAGAAAAGTATTTCTTACAGTAACAGAGTATGCACCGACATTTTCATGAGTGCGCACTGCTCAGAAGTCCCACACTAGGACGAAACAGCTATCCAGTGACCCTAGGTTTTCAATGGCTATACAAATGATTTCATTTCGTAATGAATACCGACCTGGAATCAATTAAACCCTACGAACCAAACTGAAATACACACAGCTGACTGAATCACTAGTCGTAGGATACTCATGGAATTTTAGAAGAAAACCTGTAGCAATTCGCTCCCATAGTACCATGAACTTGCTGAGCTATTCACCACTAAGTACAGATGCGCTCAACCAATGTTTAAACAATATGAGATAACCTATAGAGTCAACCAGTTGTAGTGATGACACAGCGAAGTGCCAGCATGCGAATCAAGTATTCGAACACTGCACCACCACCAACTGACATTCAAGCAGTCACGTAGTATCATTAGCATTCACATTCTCAACGCGTTGAGCGTAAACCTGAGTATGTTTGGCATGCATTTCGCTGGCATCTGTCAAATGTAAGATCCTCCGGGACTAGATTATAACCACTTCCAGCTTAATAATAGGGAGTGAAGTCATGGCATTTGTCAACCACATCACTTACTTGGGGAGTTGCATCAGCTCGAACGTGTTGGTTGCTGACGAAATTTCAGCTCGTATAAAGAAGGCTGGTTTGGCATTTGTCAACTGCATCATCTCTGGTGTCGACTGGCGAGATATCCGACTACCTATCAAATGAGGAGAATACTGCACTGCAGTCTGTTTTGTCCTGTTGTACGACTGTGGAACATGAACGTCAAAAGTAGAGTCATGAAGTGATTACAGAGTTTTGATCACAGATGCATTAATGGCATGGCAGCTGAGATGTCTAGAACATGTGTTACACATGCTGAGCCACCGCTTGCCTCGACACGACATACTAGGGGAAGTTGGATTAGATTGGAAGAGGATTCAGGGTAGCCAGATCAAAACGTGGCACAAGTCGAAGTCCCTGATCGTTGGTCTGAGCCGTGTGTGTATGGTGGGGGTATAGGTTACCTCGTTGGGGTCCCCGAGACGAAATGAACCAGTGGTTGAAGAGTTTTGGTGACATATCTGAAAATTGGGCACAATCGCGCCAATGTATTCACTCCTTGATATATTTCAAAGAATGAATATTCGCTCTAACCTTTGTCTTCAAAGTATTTATTCTTTGAAACTACTTTTTCTACTTTGATATCATTCTTTTTCTATCCGCCCGTTCCTTGTATACTGTTGTGAAGTGTGGTGAATGAGTCAATGCACTTGTGTGCGAGGTTCTACGTTGATTTCGGGAGAATACAGCAAATTATTTGACCACCTTGTTCTTCAGAATGAAAACCGCTCAACTTTTATGGTATGATGACCAGTAGACATTTTGGTTTATGTGCGTATGACTTATGAACAATTATAAGCATTTGAGAAAATTAAGAATTAGTTTATCACCAATCAATACTGAACAGTCGTTGCCCATTGGAGTCATTGAATACTAATCAACCAACAATCAACATGTGTGACACTTCAAATAGGATCCGTGACGTTACAATATTTATCCTTACAACCTATGGTTTAGACGTAAGAACTTTATTATAACAGACATAACACTCTGAGACTGTAGAAAATTAACGTATATAACATTAGGTCTCATGTGCACAAATCTGACCTGAACGGTGGATAAAAATAAACGAGATATGGTTTATTGGGAACAGATAAATAGCTTTCTACTAATGAACTATAAGGTTCAAACTCTTCTCTGTGACAGTCAAAAATCGCTGGTTTGAAACCTTATAGAATATAGTTCAGAATGAATTTTAATGAGACAGCTGCGTTTTTTCTTCAAATGAATTTTGAAATTTTCATGAATATACACCTTAACTGTCTTTATCTCCTCTTTCTTTACAGTATTTTAAGATAGTTTATACTCTCACTTTTATTTCGTTCTCTAACCTCTTTCTAACTTTTGGTGCAATATACCGAAGTGAGTTGGTGTGATTTTCAATGATATCTAATTATATAAATTTTGAACTAGAATGATATGCGTAGATTACATGTTTCACATTAACTGTTAATCAATGATTGAGTAAACTCCGGTGGTTTTCCCACAAAGTGAAATAATAACCTAACTCTATCATTTACCGTATATTTCGTGGAGCTTTACACCGTTTGTAAAAATAGGTAGCCAACCAATATTGTACACAACAGTTCCATGACTTTATTGACTCTCGTACTGTGGGTGCGAATTCACAACCCCATACACTTAAATTGTATATCGTAGTATAGTTATAAATTACAGTAGCTTTTGATCCGATTTCACTACTAGACTTATTTCCCAAACTGGGAGGGATGATGGAGTTAGCAGTGCTCGGAGCTTGATGATGATGACTCAGCGAATTTTCAAAGTTAGTTTTCATATTCTTCGCCGCTTGTTGCTCTACATATCTAAAACAAAAAGTAAATAGACCGAAAACAACAATTTTAGCGAAATGGTATGACTTCGTTACATTTCAAAGTTTCTCATCAGTTACTTACATGAAACAATTTTTATCTCGAAATATACAAAAAATATTTCCATACTTATACCAGTTATACTACTATCCCATATGAGATTGTTTCTTTGATATAGCATACAGTGGTGAAACAGAATTATTTACTGCATCACCTTACGAGCAGAGTTTATTGCTCACATATACAGAAACTCATCAGTCTAAACAAAAGATAACGTTGATATCACTTAACTGAAGTATTATTATCATTATGATTACCATTAGAACACACATGGTACAGCAAAGGCACCAAGAAATGCGCAACACAAAATAATATAACAATATTGTGAAGACATGAAGCAAAGGGGAGTGGATAAGTAAGAAAAAATATACAGTAAGAATAGAAAGGCAGTTCAATAAGATACATTCTTTACTTTTCAGCAGGAGAAGATAGAAGAAGGCTACAGTATGACCGTCGCTGGTTTCGATTCTGAGCCATATCTGATCTCGTCTCAAACCATTGAGTTGCGTGATCTCTCGGATCCCACCCAGGAAGTCGTGATGCACCAACACATGCTAACGCGATACAACTATCCTCCGTCCCACTGCACCACACCATACACTGACTACCCACCTCCTTGCTTCTTCCATCCAGTCCCAGGGTTAGCAAACAATGAACGGTGTGGAAGCCGTTGGGATGACATGTGTGACACATGTTCAAGCCACCGAAGCCAGTGTTCCCAGATGACTTCACTTCTTGAATGACGATCTCCATCATGCCCAAACACATGCTGTCGTACCTCAAAATTACTTACATGGTGCTGCCACCGGATGCAAGTAATCCTACGCAAATGTATGCCACTCTAGTTTTCGATAGGTGGTTGGAAATTTCACCACTCACACAGCTACCTAGAAACAGGAACTTTTCAACCATTTCCAAGACGTCACCCCGGACGGTGATTGCGGACATAGCCTCCTGCCAATCTTTCGAAAGTACTTTGCACTTTAATGGTGCAAAGCATATGCCCAACTTACGGACACGTAATTGAAGTGATCAGACATGAGTGATCAAAGTTACATAAACTGATAATGAAGTGTGGTTTATGCACCATTGAAGTGCAAAGTACTTTCGAAAGATTGGCAGGAGGCTATGTCCGCAATCACCGTCCGGGGTGACGTCTTGGAAATGGTTGAAAAGTTCCTGTTTCTAGGTAGCTGTATGAGTGGTGAAATTTCCAACCACCTATCGAAAACTAGAGTGGCATACATTTGCGTAGGATTACTTGCATCCGGTGGCAGCACCATGTAAGTAATTTTGAGGTACGACAGCATGTGTTTGGGCATGATGGAGATCGTCATTCAAGAAGTGAAGTCATCTGGGAACACTGGCTTCGGTGGCTTGAACATGTGTCACACATGTCATCCCAACGGCTTCCACACCGTTCATTGTTTGCTAACCCTGGGACTGGATGGAAGAAGCAAGGAGGTGGGTAGTCAGTGTATGGTGTGGTGCAGTGGGACGGAGGATAGTTGTATCGCGTTAGCATGTGTTGGTGCATCACGACTTCCTGGGTGGGATCCGAGAGATCACGCAACTCAATGGTTTGAGACGAGATCAGATATGGCTCAGAATCGAAACCAGCGACGGTCATACTGTAGCCTTCTTCTATCTTCTCCTGCTGAAAAGTAAAGAATGTATCTTATTGAACTGCCTTTCTATTCTTACTGTATATTTTTTCTTACTTATCCACTCCCCTTTGCTTCATGTCTTCACAATATTGTTATATTATTTTGTGTTGCGCATTTCTTGGTGCCTTTGCTGTACCATGTGTGTTCTAATGGTAATCATAATCATAATAATAATAATGAACAGTAATCATAATGTGTCGGGTCGTAGTAAATATGTCTGTGTTCCAGAACCTGTTGAAAGCTGAAGATTTGATCGATACATTCTCATTTCGGACTGAAACCTACTTGTTGTTTCATAGTTTGTTAGTCTCGCGTTCCAGTTATATATGGGGTAACTTTGGTCACTAGGATGTTAGATGCGGTATTAACCAAACTGATGTCTTTACGGCTGTCACACCAGAACTTCTCTCTTCTCTCACAAACTCGAATAACAGATGATCTAGACTAGTATGAAGGGACTATCTCTGATTCCTATATATTGAATAGCGCCCAAGTTGCTCTGCTCAGTTCTACTGTTATATTATTTTGTGTAGCACTTTTATCGGTAACTATTCTACACCATATTTATTTTATAAATAGGTAAACAAATAAGTGATTTTATTTCCGAAAATCATTTATTCAGTAGGCTGGCTGTAATAACAGACCATGTTCATATCCAAGCAGGAAAACTTATTGAAACTGACCGATATGTTTCAAATAATTTCTACTCAAATCTTAGATTTGTGAGGCAATTAAGAAAGATTCTTAGTATAAAAAGTGTAGCGAAAACACTAGATGTAAGCAAATGTGAGTACATTGGATTGGTGCCGCACATTCATTGTTAACGAAAACATCTGGGCTGGGAGCTACAAGTTAACTTGCTCCTGTTTCATAATTATGAAACATGACAGTTTAATATAGACAATATGAGGCTTACAAGCTCCTGAACGTATGTGTATTTGTAGCATTCCTGGTATCTGCAAAAGCTATCAAACAACTAATAAACAGGTTAAACGGTTTACACTTTTAGTATTTAATCAAAGAATTATCACATTGTTAAGCACAGTCAACTTGAGGTATACGCAAACAACGGTAGAAATTATAAGTAGTTAGAAGTAAAATGTTTACATCCAGAACGAGAATGACAATCTAACCTGTAGCTTGCGATATAAATTACATACATAAAACAAAATGCAAAACGCTAGAAAAAGTCAAGAGAGAAAGATCTAAGAAACTTACGAATTCAATGCACGAAGATTAGTTGGTCCTTCACCTTTCTCAGGCTCAGATAATTTAGGATATGCACCCAATCCAGCCGACATACACACACATTCGGACATTTTCCAGGCAAAATAAATTCGCATTCGAAAAGTAAAGAAAACTATCATCATATAAAATAATCGGTAAAAGAAGTGTCGATCATAAAAATCTGTTGTGCGCACATACTGAAAATTAGAAAGCAAAAATGAAACAGTATGATTAGTGCTGCATAATTTACAAATCGAGTGAAAATAAGTAGCTTGCATTATTAGTGACACTGCAAACGTATGCTAGCACTAATAAGTAGTAGACATAATACAACTGAAGAATCACGAGCACGTCCATCACGTCATGAAACACTGATTTCCGACAGATCGCAACATTACTTGGTTGTTCAAATGTCTTTCAATGAGTGCAGTTTGAATCTATAAGTCACTAAATGAAAGCCAAGTAGCAAAGTTAGTAAGTTAAACATCATTCTCACTAAAATGTCTAGACATGAAATAATGTCATCTGTAAATAAGGAAGAGTGGATAAATTATTTTCACTTCAATTCACGAACGTCCAAAAGTCGATAATTTCACCTCAGCTATATAACATTACAATAGTTTTATTAAAATATAATCAGTAACAATAAACTAAAGCGTGCTTCAACGAACATAAGAAGTACTTTTGCACCATTGTTAACGACTTTGAAAGGTATCGCATATTCTTCAACCCGTGGTTTCTACTGTTGCTAAGCAACAAGACTCATACTTTCCAGGTGTTTAAACTAATTTTCAGTGCATTCGTCAACTCATAATAGGCCTTGACCTTACGATGTTTAGTTTTTGACTGGACACAAGAAGCACCAAAAGTTGACTACGTAGCAGATAAAACATCAGCTCAACGTAAAACGTCGCACTGAATTCTATCAGTTAAAGTTACTACACTTCACAGCAACAGGCAAAAGAAAGTGAGTAGAAAAAGAATGATATTAAAGTAGATAGAAGTGCATGAGAATATGAAGTAAAGATTTAGGGTAACAAAATCTTCAAAGCTGTGAAGATGATGAAGAGTGGATTCACCTGCATCCTAGTGACTGATATTCACTCATAACACCAAAAGTCTTTCCTAACTCACATAATCTACACCTCCTTACACAGCCCAGATAAACAGCCAAAAACTTCATGAATTGATACCAAATCTCGGTCTGACCACCTGTAGTCTTCAAACTCAATCCTACTTCGACTAACACCGCAAAACCAAGTAAGCAATAGCGTGGCACATACAACACATGTCAGAGCTACTTCAGTTTCTGATGGCTTACAATCCCATCAACTAACTTGCTTAGTACCCTCCGCCTAAACTTCACACTGCTTACACAGTAACTCCACCATACGCAAGTAATGCTACGAATACACCAGGGCTTCTAAACCTCCAATCTCTTCACATACAATTCCAACAGCGGTTTCTCACAACTACATAACATAACAGAACGGACTACAACGCAGAACACTTTTACATTAAAAGGTAGTCAGATATCTCACCAGTCAGCGCCCAAGATGACGCAAGTAGGCAAGTGCAAAACGAGACTTCATCAGCAACTAGGCTGTTAGGACTGATGCAGTTATCCACGCGAAGTGGTAAACGCACTTTACCATCTCACCACATGGCCTTGAAACAGTGGTAGCTTCAGACAAAATACTGAAACATCATTTTACATTTGATAATTGAGAGATGCATGCCAAACATAACTAAATTGTTGCTCAAGGCGTAAGGAAGACCTTGTGTTTCTCTAACATCGCCCAACAGAACTATACCATCTGCTAACTATAAGTCAGTCACGTGCCCTCCTACGTGTATGCCAATCCCTGCTAAGTCGGAGGGACTTCGAGTTATGTGCATCAGCATGTCTACAGAATACTTCTTACTTATATCAAAAGTATTCGAATTATTTTATATCGTCGACTTTCGCGAATAGATTTCGTGTGATTTTGTATACCGTTAGTCTACATTGCAATCCCAAATAGAAAACTGATTCCTGAGAATCCAAAAGAAAAACCTCATCTACTTCTAAACTGTCAACATCATCATCATCCAGTTAGTGAACTTATCAACTCAATGAGATCCATGAATGCTTTAAATATAGTCCTTTTTTAAGTTCGTAAACTGATCAGTCAAACTTTGAATGTTCTCTACCTCTTTATTTACAAACAGTGAGGCAGTTGAGTTATACCATCACATGGAACTTCATTAAGTCGCATAAAAGACTATTAGCAAAGTACATAAATGAAGTGAATAATTAGTTTCACTCACATCGACAGTAAAAAAGTGGGATAATATTAGATAAGCCACACCAAATGGAGGAGCTTCTTGAAGATGCTGTGAAAGTGGTTCCTCCGTGATCATGCAAATTTTACAATTCCAATTACTGAAGTCCTCGAATGTTCGGAGTTTGTAATATGGACCTTAAAGTAGGTGAAAATGAAAAGAAATGATGGTTTAAAAATAATTCATCAGCCTGTAATATCATGGTATAGAATTTTCAACTAAACTTCGGCTTATTGCAATTACCTCTTTGACTGTTGGTTTCGATGCAGAAGTTACTTCTTACTTAGATCTTAGTGAAACAATGTGATCGAAAGGTGTTTTCAATCAATAACATTTGTAATGATTGGTTTTGATTGGTACCAAATTTCTGATACGATCTGCTCCACTGAAATATCTTGCAGTTACTCTTTAGACAAATTATTCAACACATAGTGAAACCAAGGAACACACCAAAAAGGTATCCTTTTTAACACTCAAGCATTCAAAATGAAGTTGGTTCATCAATTAACTAACTATTCATCAAATCTGGTGCCAGGCAACTCAGTAGTGAAATACGCTGCTGTACACCACGTAGATATCGACCACATACATTGCTTGATAATCAACTATACTAACCAATTAGTCAGACCAAATACATATGAGATGACGGTCTATAATTATAAAATTGTCTGTTAATAACACTGGGGAAAAGATAGTTGAAGGAATTTATGACATTGAGTGAGATGTGACAACTAGCTTATGTGAAACAACCAATTAGTCAACTGAATTATGCAATTGTAAATAAGCGATGAAAAAAATTAATGAATGCAATGCCTATGAAGATATATTCTGATAAAATAACTAGATACAGTAAATTGTGTATCAATTGGAGCCACTAACCTGTAAACAGACCAATATAGCTGTAGGCATACGACATGATCATCAAAGGAGAAGGTTCAACAGATTTATACATCTTCAATAGTTTGAGAGTGTTTTTATCCTCTGGCTGCAAAGTTTCACTTTGCAACTGTTTGTCTATAAGCCAGCTATCACTTATTTCAAACGACGCACCAATCAACTATAAATCAATTCTTTTACATCGATACACAAAATAATAGATACGTACACGTAAAGTCAGTAAAAGCTGCACAATATTTGTAACAGGAGTGGCTGGAGCAAATCCGAAATAATGACAGGTTCGGAAGAATCCCAAATAACCAAAGCACCAAACAACAGTAATGTAGTGCAAAAACCTTTACCAATTGAGGCAAACATTAAAATAACAGCATACCTGACAGGGAAAAGCAAAAAAGCCAACGTGAAGACAGATGATGTAAGCAGTGAATGCCAAACAGCTTTTCCTGCAACACAGAAAAGCATTAAAAATCCGACAACAGCTGAGCACCATGGTCGAGATTTTCCACACTTCTGAATCAACGGTCCAATAGATAATGATAGCATGAGTATACATGCGTAAATTAGGTCATCTGGTGTCATGGTTTATGCTCTAAAAGGATTAACATTGACAACTCAAGGTCTGCTGCACGCAAATGAAGAATGTATCAAATGAAAGTAAATAGAACTTTAGCAAACGTCAACAGCACCTCTTCCTCCTGACTGTTAGCAGATGATAACACTATACGCTACGAATGCAAATAAAAACTTAAAACAAGAATATTTAAGACCTCCATCATATCCCAGATTTCACGAGGTTGCTCCATTTGTATACCTTCTTCACAAACTCGGATAATAAATTTTGGAAACTCTCTCATACAGAGAAAACATGTTAGGTAAGAAGACAGTCAACGAAAACAAAGTCTTCTGTGTTTTGCATATCATTTTAACAAAAAGCTACTGTGCAGCATGTTGAGCTACATTTTTAAAAACTCACATAAAGATGCACTGTTCCTATAAAAAAAAGGAGAAACAAACGATTGGGATCGTGGAAAAAATCTGTACCTCAGTATGCATTGATAATGGTGGTCCGATGTTCTCAAGAAGTTTCGTCACCAGGCCTAGTGATATCCACAGCACTAACTTCAAGTGTAAACAATATCAGAATAAAACTTATTTACTTTTCAGGAGCAGGAAATGATGTAAACCGGCCTTAAGCTATAATAACTAACAATTACAATCCCAGACACCCATATGATAAACTCTAAATTTAAATCCGAAATTAATCTTAGTTATTTATTCCAAACAACGATACTAACTTTAATCAGGGGTGGGAATTTAACAATAATGGTCAAAGAAAGTGAAAACCTGGCGTCACTAACAAGCTTCAACAACAAATCTCTAATGTCGCGAAACTCATCCACCTAGAACGTGATGGCATCTCAATTAAGCTAATAACCTTTCAGTCAACTTTTGTTCACTATGTGTCAGCAACCATATCAACACTTCTTCATCATGCAATGAAGAAAAGCCATTGTGTGCAGGATAGAAATACTACCCAGCTATTCCAATATCGCTAGGTGAAGTGGAGTTCCAATCTACAAGACACGAGTTGAAAGTCAACTGAGTAAACAAATAACTCGAGGCTTCACTACGTCAACTCAGCTGTTTCCACTTTCACAAACGGTTGCAGCGACAAATAATTTAATGCAACTCAATTAAATAACCTCGCCTAATTAACTAATTCACTACTTACTAGCCGGTTCCACGCCCACACAAAGAGGGAAGGTTGGGTATACGACTAGCAACCCTACACCATATAACAAATACAATCACTAAACAAACTACAAAGCACACAAAAGATACAAAAAATAAACTCAGTCCTCACTGGAATCGTGGAGACGAAATGACACCAGCTGGTGAAAGCCTTCGGGAAGCCAATTAGCCTATCTACCTTCTCTTCTCTCCATCAAACCAAAAGTAGGCATGGCGACATGGAATGTCCACTGACTGGCAAGGCTGTCCAGATTGCAAAAGAAATGAGAAGATATAGCACAAGAGTACTAGGGATCTGTGAGGAATCTACAGATGGAATGGAAGTCGACTCTCCAAACTGTCAACTGGAGAGTCAATTATCTACCCCAATATTATCACCCAGACGACAACCACGAGCACACTCAGTTTCACAGTCGCTATCATGATATCCCCTTGAAGAGCATCGAAGGCTCTCTCTCTCCCTCTCTCTCATACAGTGGGAACCAATCTCCTCCTGCAGGATCACCATCATGGCAGCAAGATGGATTCAACTCAAAACGAAGCAAACTTACAATCATTAAGTGCTACGCTACGCACCTACAAATACTGGAGAAGGAGGAATTCTATACACAACTGCAATCAGTACTGGACAAGACCCCACACCAGTTGGCGATGGCGACATCAACATTCTAAATGGTGGGGTGACACGAATACCAGCCAAACTGGGAGCAGACAACACAAGAAGAGAACTCATCACACGTGGAGAAGCACTTGGTGAAATGAAGAATGAGAATGGAGAACTGTTTGCTGACCTCTGCACACTTAATGATTTGGTCATTCGAGTGAGGCAGTGTGTACAAACACAAGGATATTCACAAGGCAGCCACATGGATTTGATTTCACCACATGGACACACTTAAAATTAAATTGAATTCATTTCACTCTGTAGAAAATGGAGACGCAAACTACTGGATACAAAACATCAAGAAGGGGAACATACCACTCACTGTCTAGTGCAAAGAACCTACCTTCAAAATCAAGTTGGAAGCCTTCAAGGGAGTTGGTGATAGACCACAGTTCAAGTTGAACAACCACCCAGAACAGAAACTGAACTGAACTGAATTGAACTGAAGGACGAAACTACAGGCGACATCTTCATTCACATCAGCCATCAGGACAAAATGGGAGACACCAAGCAGCATACCTGAAGAAACCTGCGCCGAAGAACACTGGAACTGTTTGGAAGAGATGTAGAAGGAAACCGGCATAACCTTATTAGGAAGGAAGAAGAGGCGGCAAGACAAGGAATGGATCTCAACGGACACATGGACGCTGATAGAGGAGGGAGAGGGAGAGGAAGATGCTGCGACAGAAGATGAACCAGTGCAGTGCAGTGGAGTGGAGTGTGGAGTGCGAGGATGAACAACGAAAAGAGGAACTGAATACAACCTGTAAGAAAAACACTACACTGGACAAAGAAGTGAATAAGAGTGCGTGGAAAGACAAAGCATATTCCTACGACACACTTGAAAGTGAAGCAGAATAGGCTGCAGGTAGATAGGAGAGACAGAGACCTGACAACATCATATCAAATAACAAGGTCACCATCAAGGAGGGGAGAGATGAACACAGATGAAAGCAATGAAAGATAGTGAAGGCAAGTTAGTTAGCATCAAAGAGGGGAATCAAAGGAAGTGATGAGGTGACCACTTCAAAAAACTCTTCAATCGACCACCACCATCACCTGCAAGTCGTTCAAAAATACCACCAGAAGCCACAGAATTACCAGTGAATACAAGCCTACCGACAAAAGCAGAAGTCCTGAATGCCATAAAACTGCTGAAATCCGGGAAGGCAGAAGGACCCGATGGAATTCCTGCAGAAGCACTGGAAGCAGACATAGAGACAATAGTGGACACGCTCACACCACTATTGTAGAAGGTTTGGAAGGAGAGAAAGGTACCTTCATATTGGAAGAAGGGCTACCTTGTCAAACTTCCGAAGAAAGGACACGTGAGACAGCAGGAACTGGCGAGGAATCATGCTCTACCCCTGTCCACCCGAAGCATAATATTAAGGCACATCATCCTGGAGAGACTAAACAATGTACTGGAACAGGCTGGCTGGCTGGATTCAGAAAGAACAATTCATGTGCGGATCAAATTGCAAAGCTAAGCTACGCATCATCACAGAAGAGAGCATAGAATGGCAGTCAACTCTCTACCTGAACTTCAACGATCTTGAAAAGGCATTCGATCGAGGCGTCGACCGAGAAGTAATTTGGCAGCTGTTTCAATGCTATAGAATACCACAACCTTTTTCATTCTCATCTAACAGCTATATGAAGACCCCACGTGCTAAGTGACTCACAATGGAAAGCTCGGTGACGCTTTTGATGTGAAGGCAGGAGTAAGACAAGATTGCCTACTAACACTGATGATCTTCCTGATTGTGGTCCACCGAATCATGCAGCAAACAGTGAGGAGTGGGAAATGGGCATACGCTGGACCGATGAAAAGACCCTAGAGGGTTTGGAATTCGCCGATGATTTGTTTCTAATATCACACAAACTCGAATATCTACAGGCAGAAACCAACATGTTGGCAGAAGAGGCAGCGAAAACGGGACTAGAAGTGAACATAAAGAAGACAGAAGTAATGAAGATACCCAACCAGCAGCAGCAACAACAACAACAACAACAAGCACCAATCACCATCAACGCGAGAAAACTAAAGGAAGTAGTCTATTACACCTACATTCCTCGGCACGGCAGCATCCTTTCAACTACAGGTGGTGGCAGTGGCGGTGGTGGCGACGGCACACATGAGGACGTCAAAGCCAGGATCGGAAAGACAGCAAGACAGGCTTTCACTTATGTAAAATCAGTGTGGTGATCTACTCCACTCAACTCCACTCAGCAGCATAAAGCGTGAACAAGATCCGTATTTTCAAGACTAATGTCAGTAAAGTCAGTGCTTCTCTGTGATGGTTAAGAGACTTGGTGAGTTACGAAAAGCACTTTCAACAAACCGCAGACACTCATCAACAGCTGCCACCTACGTCCGCTCGATACTGAAGATCAGATGACCAGAATAATAAGAATAAGCAACAAGGAACTCTGGCTGGCTGGCAACGAACGAACCGAGAACCTATCGCCCAAGAAATATGCAAAAGAAGGTGGAGATGGATTGGACATACACCGAGAAAGCTTTTCGGAGACATCACGCGCCAGGCCCTTGAGTTGTAGGCAAATGGGAAACGATGAGTTGGGCATCGCAGCTGAGGGTTACATGGAGGAGTTGGTGTGAGGAATAAATGAGAGCTTCTAAGCAGTTTTGGAGCCAGGTTCAAAAGATTTCAGAGGACAGAGTGCACTGGAGATGCGCTACTGAAGCCCTACGTTCCACTAGGAACCCAAGGGACAAATAATAATAATTCAGTTCGATGTCTTTATGTATCAGAGTGTCACACTTGTTTGAGCATTTGATAAAACCCGGTTGATCAGGAGGAACTAAGTTAAAGGGGATTTGAACCCAGGAACTTTTGCTTGAAAGTCAAATGCTTAGGCAAGTGAGTTACAGCTCTATAATGGTTGCAGGCTACATTTTAAGATAGATACAAAGGGTTCTTACAGCATCTGACCATATAATATATCTAAAACCTGTTAGAGATATTTGGCATTCTCTCAAATGATGAACACACTAGACAACAGTCCACTCACTGCTAACCTACGGTTATAAAACATTCTGTTGAAGGTCGAAAAAAAGGTTACACTTATTGAACTTCACATGACATCGACGAATCACCCGTATGTAATAGAATTATAAACTGAGCTAACTGGAATTGAAGTGCAGTTTACAATCACCTTGGATAGCTTCCGCGCATATAGGACCACCACGTTTCTGGACATAGGACATTACACGAGCAGAACTATTTCAAAGGGGAAGTAATACATGAACATACGAAGATAACAGCCCGAACCCAAATACGACGTAGATGTCGATCCTCCACATATCCTAGAATTAAGGAAGGCTGTTTCTAACCTGATAAGAAGCAAAGCAGCCAGACTTGATGGTCTTCCACTGAAGGTCCCACGGATGGAGGTCGAAAATTACTGAATAGGGTAACGAAGGTACCACTCAGCGTGTGGAAATCGGAGGTCTTCCCGTCAAACTGGTCTACCTCAGTGACCATCCTAATGTATAAGAAAGGAGAAGTTTTGTGAAAAACATGTGAGTCAGTTTTACTAACAGTGTCCAAGATAATAAGCTACATAGTTATTCGATGTCTAACTGGAGCTTGGGAAAACTAGGCAAATACCAGACCTGGACGACGGCACATCGATCAAAGTTTTGCCTTTTGTCAAGTTATGCAACACACAAACCATATTTCTTGACTTCAAGATGGCATCTATCTTAGTCGGTCATGATATGTTGTCGCAGTATCCAACTTGTAAAGGGAGTACCGAGCAAGTATGCAACGCTAATCACACCTCTCTACTCCAACCCACGCAGACGTGTTAGGGCTTATGGTGAGTTGTCATCTGAGTTGATGATTAATGGTGTCCGCTAAGGACGCCCATCGACACCGTTCCCGTTTAATTTTGCTATAGATGTATTATTGGACATAACCTTAAGCATCTCTAACTTCACAGGAAATGATCCCATCTCTGGAGTGAATCCGCTTGACTTCAATCAATCAATATCAACATAGGACCAGGCATTACTGCGTAACGGTCCGAGTTGCCACACCTCATATCAGCACATCAAGTAAAAAGGTAGTGAGGTGAAGGATGAAGATAAGTGAATGCAGTCAAAAGAAATATAAAGTACGAGAAGAAAGGAAAGAGGAGTGACAAAATAGTGAGATTCGGTATAGCGTTGTTAAGATGAGGATAATGTGTGTATACATCTGCGCCACTGACTTCGGTTCTGAGCCATATCACCTAGGGTCTCCAACCACTGGTTCCTCTTGTCCCGTGGACCCCAACCACCTAGTCTGCATCGTCCTACATGGCTTAAACCAACAGTCAGAGACTTCATACATTGGTGCCATGTTTTAGTCTGGCCACCTCGGGCCTTTTTCCAGCCTGAACCCACCTCAGCCAACATTGTGTGACGAGGCAATCGGTGACTAGGCATACGTAGTACGTGTCCCAACCATCTCAGTCGATGAAGGTTCACAACCTCGTCGACTGACTTACCTCTTCTCCCTAAAACTCTACACCTAACTTCTGCATTACTCACATGGTGACACCACGGAATACGTCCTATACTACGAAGGCAACGGTGGTCAAACACCTGTAACCTTCTCATGTCTTCCACTTTCAATGGCCATGTTTCACAGCCATACAGTAGAACAGAGCGGACTGCTGTGCAGTACACGCGACCCTTAATAGACAAACGAATATCACGGCGGCGCCATAGGTGGCGCAAATTGGCAAAAGCCAATCGAGCCTTTTGTATCCGTGCAGAAATCTCATCGGCAACTAACCCACCAGGGTTGATCCTACTTCCCAGGTAAGTGAAGTGGTCAACACACTCAACCACTTCACTCTCTATTGTTAACCGCGGTACCGCTGAAGACCAGTCCTGGAGCAAAAATTTGCATTTGGGTGGTGAAAATCGCATCCCAAACATTCTCAAATTCCCACTCAAAGTGTTCAGAAGACTCTGCATCTTGTCAGCGTCTTCACCTAACAGGACTATGTCATCTGCATATTCTAGATCTAAGGAAAATTCCCTGTGATTCGGTCAACGTCTTTGTAATTAGGTGACGAGAGGGAAACCTCCATAAGAATATCTATGATAAAATTAAATAAGAATGGGGATAGTGGGCATCCTTGACGGACACCACTTGATGAGTATAGCTCCCTGGACAACTCACCATAGGCTCTAACATGCCCACAAGTGTTCGAGTAGAGAGCTTTCAATAAGGTGATGTACTTACTAGGCACGCCTTTCAGTGACAGACACTGCCATAAGACTTCTCGATCAACGGAGTCAAATGCCGCCTTCAGGTCGAGAAATACAGCTATTGTCGGGCGTCTGTAAGCATGCCTATGTTCCAGGACCTGGCGCAGTGTGAATATTTGGTCGATACATCCACGGCCAGGTCTAAAGCCTGCCTGGTTTTCTCGGGCTTGCTGTTCCCGAGCTCCACTCAGGCGTCGGAGAATTATAGAACTTAGGATCTTAGACACTATGTTTGTCAGGCTGATTCCTCTGTGGTTATCACAAGAGGACTTCTCGCCTTTCTTGAAGACTGGGATGATGAGTGACTTAGACCAGTCGGAGGGGATCGTATTTGATTCCCATATACTGGCTAACACTTCCGTTAGCCTGACTAAGAGAACTCTACCACCATTCTTGTATACCTCAGCAGGTAGTCCGTCTGGTCCTGCTGCCCTTCCCGTTTCAGGCTACCTACCGCTTTCTCAACTTCTTCTAGTGTTGGGGGACCTGTCTCTATGTCCCATTCAGGGTCCGACTGGATAGCGGGCAGCGCAATGGTGGCTGGAGGCCAGTTAAACTGTTCCTCAAAGTGTTCTGCCCATCGTCCCAGTCGCCTTCCCTGCGAGTGAATCGCAGATCCGTCCTTCTCCGCTATAACCTCACTAACTGTTGTTGACCATTTCCCCCCAGTCTCCTTAATAAGTCTAAATAACTGTCTACTGTTACCGATCGCCGCTGCCTTTTCCATCTCTTTAGCCTTCGCTGCCCACCACTGTTCACGATCGTTGCGCAGACTTTTCGTCAGTTATTTTTAAGTTGCGCTCGCTCTTCATTGTACTCAGAGCCTGCAGGGATGCATTCACGTGCATCCATTAGTTTGGAAGAAGCTGCTGATATCCACTGGCTCTTTTTAGCCATTATCTTGGAGTCGGCTACAGTCTCCAGTGCTGCTTTTACAGTAGACTGAAGATGGCACCAAGCTTCTTCTGGATGAGTGACAGTCTTTTGTTCCGATAACTGCCTAGCCAACTTCTCACTGAACACGGCTTTGGTGTTTTCGTTGTCCAGCAGAACTCGTAGTGGTTTTGTTGCCAAATTTTTTCTACGTCCATTGAGACGCAGGCATATACGTGCTCGGACCAACGCATGATCGCTGTCCAAACACGTACTCCAGAAGGAGCGGCAGTCTTCCACCGATCCTCTCCAGCGATGACTAATAGCAATGTGGTCTATCTGTGTCCATCGCTGAGTCGAGCTCGGTGGACGCCAGGTCAGACAGTGCCTTTCTTTATGTCTGAAATTTGTGCTGGCTAAAAATAGGCGGTTATCTGAGCATAGTTGTAATAGGCGATCACCGTTATCTGTACGTTCAGCTGGGATTCCGAAAGTGCCACCTAAGTGCCTTTCTGCCTCACTCAGTCTACCCACCTGTGCGTTGAGGTCACCTGCAACAACCACTACGTCCGAACGTTTGGCTTTCGAGAGGAGGTTAGACAGTTTATGGTAGAACTCGTCCTTCACTTCATCCGAACTACAGTCAGTGGGTGCGTAAGCAGAGATTACAAAGAGACAACGGCGAGTCTCACTATTCCTTTTAGTTCTCACTGTGCCGTTCAGCCTCATAGCGCAGAGGCGACTATCAACTGGGATCCAGTCTAGTAGTGAGTTTTCTGCCCTGGTGCTTAATGCTATACCTACACCTGCAAGACCACGAGAGCTAGCTATCGAATCTCCAGAAACTCGAAGGGTGAATTTTGCAGATTCACCAGATTGGTCAGGAGAGGTCAGGTGAATAACCACACTTGGGTCCTGTATGCGTGTCTCACAAACACAGCACACATCCATGCCCCGAGTTGCTAGAGTCTTTGCCAACGAAGCCTGTTGGCCAATTTGACGGAGGGTGCGGACATTGAAGGCTCCAATATGTAATTTGGAGCGTGGTTTAAGGAGACCAGGGATGCTGTTCTGTGGACTCAGATCGTTGTCGAAGGCTGCAGAGGTAGGAGAAATTGAAGATGATGCAGCATCATTAATTAAGAGACGTGAAGGAAGATTAGAAGGTAATGATGGAGGAGGAGGATAGCAGTCAGAAGAAACTTGGGTGCTGACAGAGTTGTGAGGGCGGTTGACACTTCCCGGCTGCCCACACCGTGGAAGGCTATTTCTTCTTAAGGTACCTGAAAGAGATTTGTGTGACCGCAGAGCCCATCGGACATCTGCTTGAGGCCTGTCACACCCAGCCTTTTGAGTATGATTATTTTGAATTTTTGTATTTTTGGGGCCGGATGGTCGAAAGGAAACGACAAGTGAACCAACACCGCCGGCCCGGCAGACCGTGGGGCGTGGTGGAGTGTGTTATTTTTGGGGCCGACCTTTTCTAACCCCCCCTTCCACTGAGAAGGCAGCATCAGCATGGCACTGCTGGTCATCCAAGGGAAACACCTTACTGCTGTCACACCCCATCCAGCTAGCAGCAGTACGACTTCGCCCTCAGACCCCCATCATAGTGTAGCAATTTACACTATAACGGTAACTGCTTTTCGTCTAACCACTACCCAACAGACCTTTCTGGTATGGTAGGACCTCGAGGGAACAAGCGTTCCACCAGCATAGCTCGTTGGGTCATTGTGATATGCAAGCCCGACCACCACGTCAAGGTAGCAGCTATCGGTCGGGCAGCTTGACTTGCCGTATTACAATGACATTATCTTAATAAGTGAAGAGACTGACAAAATAAAGGATCTTCTGTACGCATTGAGCAGAAATCTGGGTATGTTTGGGATGCATTTCGCACCTGTCAAATATGAGATGATGCTTCAGGATGGATTTGCACCTGCTCCTGTTTTAAGGTCAGGTGGTGAAATGGCAGAGTGCTTTTGCCACTTCACATTCTTGAGGAGTTGCATCAATCCGAACAGCCTGGTTGTTGACGAAATCTCAGTTTAAATGGACAAGGCCCTTTTGGTGCTTGCCATCTTGAGTCATCCGTGTCGATATATCTAACTACCTATCAAGGGACGCGTGCACTGTGCAGCAGGCTGTTTTCTCCCGTTATATGGCTTTGAGAACGGTTGTTGGTCATATGTAAAGGGACTGAAGTTTCCGAACATAGATGTCTTCGTAGCACTAGTTGCGTATGGTGGAATCCCTGTAACGTCGAGGTTAGGGTGAGTGTACTAGGCAAGACAGCCATGCCCATCGATGAGATAGTGAGCCATCAGAGTCTGGGTTAGATCTCAAGCAAAGACAGCTAGGTGTCAAGTGTAGGTTCCACTCCTTAAGCTTTAGAATAATCTCACTCGTTAGTTGTTCCAGACTAATTTGTCAGAATTTCATACACTGACTCGACGCGATTTGAACCACAAGTTATTGAAATATTTTCAAAAGGTTCGCAAACACGAAAGGTACTATTCCTCTGCTTCTGCATATGGTAGCTAGCCAAGCAATAGCTTCTTGCATTCTGTCAACTGAAAACAAACACGAGGATAATTATTGCAGGCCCGGGCCTGGCCAGGCAAGTGGTAATGTTGCAAATACCCAGTATAGTTCCATTCGTCTTAATTGGTTCTCAGTCAAGTTCTGAACCCTAGTCTTGTATAAATTATGACTGGGATTTCACATTTATACCTGAAAAACCAGTTGTCTATGCAAAACATGGTGTGCGAAATTCAAAGCGACGTGACTGATTCTTAACTGATAATAGATACATAATAATATGACTTCGTAAAATGTATACCTAGGAGACACAAACAAGTGACAAACCGCAGAAATAAAAGATGCAGCTAAAAATGTGCAACGATACACAGATAATGTGGCTCGCTAACTCTCTACCTTTGACCTTGAATGGCTTACTGGGTCCGGACCTTTCAAACTTTCAATACCTAATATTTTATGAGCCACTGTCAACCAACCAGTTTCTCTGCGCTAACTTCTAGAACCTGTAAAGCATTTCTAAATCTCTTTTAATTTAGGCTTTACGTTCAATCACGTTACTCATCTACGTATGTTTTTAAGTAATCCGGGAAGGTGACGCCTACAGGATTCGCAGTAGGACTGGAGGTAGAGCTTTGGTACACTGAGACTGGTCGACAGCTGGAAGCCTCCCTTCCAGATGTTGATGGAGACACTCTACCAAGCCACTTCCTTGTGTAATAATAATGGAGTTTTAATGGCTGTTTGCGCGATATCTTCTACCGAACTGATTTTGGAGAATGTGCTCATTGCGTATAAATTCGCAGTCACATTACCAAAGGGAGATATCGGGTGACGGTATGGCACTGCTATGACTTTAAGCCGTTAGTAATCACCGGTTGGACGCTGGCCGTTGGTATTCTTTTTGAAAACCATATGCAGTGGTGACTCCCGATGACTGTTTGGTGGTTTGAAAATGCCCAGTTCGGGCACGAGTATACAGTAATGGTTCAATAAATCTCCGTAAATGATGGGTATGAAACCACCAGCTGGAAGGGAGATCCAGCGAATGGACCTACGTGAACGTAAGTCGAGGTAAGCATGCCGTCTCCCTAATGTTGGGGTAGCCTTGCCATTAGTTCCTTGAAGATTGAGGGATGGGTCATTATGACGTTCCTGCGTAGTTGTGGGAGGAAGGATAACCTCTGCTCCGGTGACGTACAGCGAACGGCTATGTCCGTTGGCTGTGGCTGCCTTCAATGAGTGCCGGAGGGGTAGTTTCCCGTGTTTGCGTCAATGTGGAAAGTGCATGGTTTTCGACACTGTCTGCCTTCATCACCACAGGCATTGCGAAACCAGCACCAATTTGGGTTTTCCACCCTGTTAGGTTGGGCTGTCTGACAACCACGTGGGTTGATGCGATGGACTGAAAAGTTTCTGTGTTGCACTTAGAAACTCAGGGCTTCCGGTTGGTAGAAGCTGTTTCCCAAGTTTCGATGGTTCGGTTACCTCTGAATCCTGGCTCTCAAGCTCTCGGTGGACTGGTCTGTTAGATCTCTTCAATATTTTATCAGCTGAAGCTGCCAGGTCATCGAGTGCAACTGACTGAAGTGTCACCAACACTGTTCGAGCCTGTTGTGGTAGAAGAACGCAACAGCGTGGCCAGGGGGGGGAACAGCATATTTGAGAGGTCATGCCTAAATGCCGAAATGTTCCGACTAGCTGGCTGTGGAATCACTTACGAGGAGTTCAACGTAACATGACAATGTGCCAAATGGCCCGGATGCCTGAGTGCATGTTTTCAGCTCTACAAATCTGATAAACCATGAAGGTCAGTATCAGTGCTGAGTCTCGTCGAGTCCTGGGCCACTGATCTTGGAGAATTATGTTCCACCACACCAGGTTCTCGTAAAGTGGGCCTACCCACCCGCCTGGTGTGGCTGTTGTACATTCGGCTGTCGCCTGTGTTGATTAGATTTTTTAGTGTTTGTATGATTCTTCGAGGGGGAGTGGTGTAGATGGGTCCTTCAAGTATCTTTTCGCCAATAGTTATTCAAACCCGTTGCAAAAAGAGGAGAGAAGGGACGGAAAGATGTCTGAGGTAAACTGGGGAAACGAGGTGAGAAGAAGGAGAATGAAAGGGAAGGAGAGGCCTAAGTAGACTTAAGGAGTACGAGAAATTGAACTGTGATTAGGAGGACCTCAATAAACATTTTCAGATCACACAGCCAGACAGGGGTGAAGGGACAGGTGGGATCGTTGTAGGGATGATGGGAATGGAAACAGTAATGCTACGAGTGGGGGTATGGTAGCCGGAGGTGAGACGTCCAACAGGAAAGTATAAAGTTGAGTGAACTTCCTGATGGTGGTGGCATTTAAAAAGATTCAGCGTGAGGTAGACTTTGCTGGAAGGCACGCATTTAGTTGGCTGTAACGACCTAGTCCTCATCCCAACTGGATGAGAGCAATGGGTGAGTCACTGTCCTTGAGGCTGTCGACAGATGGAGTGGTAGCGACCTTGTCTAGCGATGAGCTTCACTGGCTGCAAACTCGTAGGACAAAAAAGTGTGAACTTACAAGAATTTTCACCCTTTCTTAGGCGATTCCGCCTAGATAACCACGAGGATTACAGAAGTGGCCGTTCTCTGGGATTCAACTGTCGGGGTGACTTGTGTTACTTAGCGTTCTGTAGGTCGTTAACAAGCCCTCACGTAACCGTAGATGGGCAAGGGAGTAAAGCCTAAGGTTTTTCAGTCTGTTCTCGTGGGGTCTTTGCCCCATTTCAACAACAACCTTCTTTATTCACCTCTGGACCTTACCTGGGAAGTCCACTCCTCATTTTTAAGCATGGTGGAGCAATGATGTTATGAACGTATTAGTGACGTAGTGTACAAGCCTTTAGGAGCTTCAGAAAGAGTTTTGGGTGAAACCACCCAGCTGTCTGCGCATGTAGTGCAGTGCTGCATAGGCTGTGGCGACACCGCATGGATAACTGGAGCTAGTCTAACTATTCCGTCAGCATTGGACCCAGGTTTTTCTTCACGGTTGCGTGAGAAAGATGAGTTCCGCCAAAAGAGTGGGATACCCTGGAGTGTGGAGAAGCGTGGTTCGTGATTTTCCTACGGTAAAAAAAGTCCGTTGTTATTCACTCACTCTTCGAGCAACCTAAGGATAGGTGTATCTGATTCTGTTTCGGACGTAACAGGTCTCCATAACTTAACATCGTCAGCGTGAGGCAGATTCAGGCAGCTGAGACGCAACGAGACGTCATCCATAAGAAGAAGGAACAGTGGTGTTCCCAAAAGTGTTTTTGTATGATATTCCGGACGATGTCCTCCAAGTTAGGCGAACTTTGTTTACTTTCGTGCAGAATTCTCTTCTGCGGAAGCAATGGGAAGTGGTTCTATGGATTTTGTATTTACCTTAACAGGATTAATTGTCTATTTGGAATTGTTGGTTGTTCTCATAGCTCAGAGGACAGAGGCAAGCAACCGATAATCAGCTAAGTATAGATAAAGCCGCCGTAGCAGCCTCTCAGCACGCTCATGATCCGTCAGATGACGGACAGCCTTTCGGGTACATATAATTTGTACCGCAGGGATCTAAACGTACACATAAAATTAGTTTTATGAGAATCTGTCCACTCAACAGAGACGGTTCAGCTATTCCATGATACCATCAAGTTGGTGTCACATGACCTTTAAGGTAAAAACCCATGTTGATATTCAGTGAGGATCGATTCCCCGGGTAAATATCCACGAAGTGACCCATTTGCCACCCGTTCCATAACCTCTGCAACAAAACGGACTGGAAGAGTGTTCTACGGTTAGCAGCAGGTGGCTTATTCCCACCTTTATTTAGCGGGATGGCGGTCACGCGTCCCAAATTAGAGGGCATTCAACCTTCTGGAAACAAATATCCAAGGAGGTTTGCTAATAATAACGTCGGCACACTCCTTGAGAACACTTGGTTGAATGCTCCATAGGATTATCTGGACTCTAAGAGGTTCAACTCCCACATAACTTGGCGCCTTTGCAACCACACCGTCACCAGGAGTGCAGTTGTCCCTTCAGCACAACGGAAAAAAATTAAAATGCTTAAAATTAACGGCACTCAGCCGAGAGTACTCAAAGAGTGTGCCGATGATATCAGTGTCCTATATCAGCGTCCATGTGTCCGTTGCGATCCATTCCTTGTCTTGCCGCCTCTTCTTCCTTCCTAATAAGGTTATGCCGGTTTCCTTCTACATCTCTTCCAACAGTTCCAGTGTTCTTCGGCGCAGGTTTCTTCAGGTATGCTGCTTGGTGTCTCCCATTTTGTCCTGATGGCTGATGTGAATGAAGATGTCGCCTGTAGTTTCATCCTTCAGTTCAATTCAGTTCAGTTCAGTTTCTGTTCTGGGTGGTTGTTCAACTTGAACTGTGGTCTATCACCAACTCCCTTGAAGGCTTCCAACTTGATTTTGAAGGTAGGTTCTTTGCACTAGACAGTGAGTGGTATGTTCCCCTTCTTGATGTTTTGTATCCAGTAGTTTGCGTCTCCATTTTCTACAGAGTGAAATGAATTCAATTTAATTGTAAGTGTGTCCATGTGGTGAAATCAAATCCATGTGGCTGCCTTGTGAATATCCTTGTGTTTGTACACACTGCCTCACTGCAATCACCAAATCATTAAGTGTGCAGAGGTCAGCAAACAGTTCTCCATTCTCATTCTTCATTTCACCAAGTGCTTCTCCACGTGTGATGAGTTCTCTTCTTGTGTTGTCTGCTCCCAGTTTGGCTGGTATTCGTGTCACCCCACCCATTAGAATGTTGATGTCGCCATTGCCAACTGGTGTGGGGTCTTGTCCAGTACTGATTGCAGTTGTGTATAGAATTCCTCCTTCTCCAGTATTTGTAGGTGCGTAGCGTAGCACTTAATGATTGTAAGTTTGCTTCGTTTTGAGTTGAATCCATCTTGCTGCCATGATGGTGATCCTGCAGGAGGAGATTGGTTCCCACTGTATGAGAGAGAGGGAGAGAGAGAGCCTTCGATGCTCTTCAAGGGATATCATGATAGCGACTGTGAAACTGAGTGTGCTCGTGGTTGTCGTCTGGGTGATAATATTGGGGTAGATAATTGACTCTCCAGTTGACAGTTTGGAGAGTCGACTTCCATTCCATCTGTAGATTCCTCACAGATCCCTAGTACTCTTGTGCTATATCTTCTCATTTCTTTTGCAATCTGGACAGCCTTGCCAGTCAGTGGACATTCCATGTCGCCATGCCTACTTTTGGTTTGATGGAGAGAAGAGAAGGTAGATAGGCTAATTGGCTTCCCGAAGGCTTTCACCAGCTGGTGTCATTTCGTCTCCACGATTC